ACATAATTTCTTGTTTAGTTACACAGTTCCACTGTTCATGTCCCATAATTGCCGTATCGAGAATACCGACTAACTTGTCAATCAAAATGTTTTCGTTTTCAATAACCTCTTTGTCACTTTCTTCACTATCGGAAGCGGTACATCTAAACATGCTTTCGCTTTGTAGACCCTTTGGCAGCTCCAGAATTGGAAACTCTTTTTGACATAATCGAAAGGTCAAGCTTACTTTTTATAAAATTGCTCTAACAATCTGCAAAAAATAATAAGCCGGATCCAGTTAGAAGAATAAGGAACAATGCAATCTGCAACATTAACTGAAATAGATAATTAGATAATTTTAGCCTAGCTTATACCGTCCGTTATACATTAAACGCACATGTATAAACATATTATGCACATGTGTAAACGCATTATGCGTTTACGCATGCACAGAAAGTTTGTAGCTTTGAGGTCCGGATTATAGATCATTCCGGACTTTGGACGTCCGGATTAAAGACTTTGTACTGTATATAATGTGAATATTACAAAACATAAACTCTGTTACATGCACTAGTTCATATACAACAGAAATTTTCATATGTTTCATAAACACAAACATAATATATCAGCAGGTAGTAATTTGATCACTGGTGGGACATGTTAACCCACTGTTAAATACGATTAGGACAATATATCCCACAAAAAGAATATATTCAAAATTTCTTAAATCTGATATTAAAAAAGTTAATTACTAAATAAGAACAATACAAACTATTTCATACTAAGCATGCCTTAAATACAATTGTACTTACTGTAAAATTTTAAAAAATAGACAAATGGAAACTTGAGTAATCGGTGTGGTTAAAAACATAAGCGCACCATCATCTAAAAGTGTTCCCAGGTTTCTTTAGTCATTATTTGGTCCCTAATTCCATAAAAACACTGCAAACGTAAAAACCTATTTCAAAGTGGGTTTTATTTACCTAATAGCGTATGAAATCTAATCTCTGGGACGTATGTGCACCGAAAGGGTTATATATTCCGTCAGACTTCTGCAGAATTACTGACACAAGTCTGGTAGATATTTTGCTAAATTTCACACTTGATGGGTTTCATAATCAAATACATAGGACTTTTTTTTAAAAAAATATTTGTTTAATCCTTCAGCAGTTGCAAGATTTATACAATTTTGTTTTTTCCAAGTATGTACGATATTTGTCAGTTGTAGTAAGGATAGATGGCACTTGTTTTCTCCATAGATGCTTCATGTTAAATGATATTTTCTCTGAGAAAAAAAAAATAAATAAATAAAATAAAATACATGTATATGAAAAGGGAAAATCTGCTTGCATCTTTACAGAAAGTTAGTATTTTATACTGATCCCTGATCCTTCAGAAAGTATATTATGCTATGAGAAATAATAAATTTATTAAAAATTAAACTTTGTTATTTGCCATTCTACTTTCATATTATTGATCTATAAATATAATGTTGTTTTAGTACTGAATACTTAAAACATAACAAGACATGTTAGATGATTAATTTATAAATCAGTAAGGCATAAAATATAATAATAACCACAAATTTAATTAATATATGTGTATAATTTATTTATCTAAACACGATTTTTTATATGGGAGACTTTGAAACATGGAATGGTACACAGTGCAGCATTTTACGCTGCTAAGATCTTCTCCACTTGAATCATCTTCCAAACTTTAAAACAAATATATGTATAATAACTTTAATTTTTTGATAAAAAGTTTTCATCTTCAGAATCATATTCCTCATTCAAAAAATGTGCTTTAGCTTTCTGTTTCATGCCATATCCAGCTATAATGCACATTCAATAGCAATAAAAGTTAAGATACAATAATAAATGAAAAAAATTGCCAAATTCACTCTTCTTATTCAAGAAATTATCAAGTACTCCTACTGCCATCCAAACCAAGTAAAAACAACTATTTTGTAAGTTTAACTCATTTGTAATGCTAAAGTATTGGGTTATTTCAAAGAATGAACCCACTTTGCCTGCACGCAATAGAGCAAAAATCTAATTTATGAGTTGTTTGGGTTTGGCTTAATCAATTATGGCAAAGCCTAAAGGGCTGTCTGCCTAAGGGGAGAGATGTCTTTGCGGAGAACTTTTTAAGGGAAACTGGCTCATGTACACATTATGCATGGAAAAACCATGAAAACGCTCATGCAGCCAGCCCATTTGTGGGATTCAAACCTGGGACAGAACTATCAATGTCCAGCGACTTTACCACTCAACCACTGGTGGGCCAATTTGTAAGTTAGACTTGTTCGTTACCATTGAGGCAGAAACTTAAACTGTAAGCTCTGTTCGTTTGGGCTCATGGCAGTGCATAATTAAAATATGAGCTTGTTGACCATCAAAGGGTTAAGGCTTATGAAAATGCATTTGACTTTTATGTCCGAAATAAATTTTTTCCAAAATCTCACATAATTTGAATGTGAGCTTTTGATATTAAAGTTGATATGAAATATGCTGACTCTTTTTATAATTTTAGACTGGAAAGTTCTTCTATTCATTTGGCTTTTTTATGGTGAATTGTATTTATTATATACTGTTTCACATACAGTGTTCCTTGAGATATGTGTTTAATTCGTTCCGTGACTGAGCTCGTAATTTAAAATTCCTGTATCTCAAATCATTTTTCCCCATTGAAAATTGTCAAAATGTGATTAATTCATGCCAGCTCCCCCAGAAAATTATTTCAATTTTTTTCTAAATGTTTTAAAGATAAATATATATATATATTTGTAATGAACAAAATAAAACCCCTTTTTAAATAAAACCTAATCAAAGATAATTTTAAACAGATATATATATATTAGATTAACATACGACTTATTTATTATATTCCTCCCTCATTTTTTGGTTAACTTCATTTTCTTCTTTAGAAGTTCTTTTCTTATTTGCCATGTGTTTGTCACTTTTATCCGAAAGGGTGTTTGAATAGAAACTTGCCCATAGAGCTTTGTTTCTTTTTCCCTTTTGGAATGTTTTTGTAATAAGTTACACAAGTGACATTAAATAGCATCTCTGCATGACCAGTTGCAAACTTTTCAGAGTGTTTCTTTTGAACAAGATTCAAAACTTTTCCCACACTGCAAACACATACTATTTTTCTCACTTGACGAGACAGCCTCCTTCACTTCTCGCTCCTGTATAATCTTTAGCAGAAATTCCATTTGTTGCTATGTCTGTAATTCCATCAACTCCTCCATCATCAGCTCTTTGGATTGTGTGGTGACAATCTCTTTGATATCTCCCTCATCCACTTAACAGACCCATGAACTTTCCAAGATACTCAATCTCCTCCAGGACGTCTTGTTCAGGCCTAAATCCTTTAAAGTCCCTTTCAGTCACAATGTCAGGCCACAGCTTTTTCAACGCAGAGGTCAAGGTCCTTTTTGTAACATCCAAGCTATATCAATAATTTTGAGGCATATGGCTGTGTTATAGAGGTCCTTCTTGAATGGTAAGATTTGTGTTCTTCATAACCTCAAAGCAGTGCTGAAACATGTGTTTGGTTAAATGTTTCACAAAACTAGAGATCACTTGTTGGTCCATTGGCTGTAGGATAGGAGTTGCGTTGGGTGAAAGGTAGAGAATCTTTATAGCTGAATTTTTCAAGGATGTCGTCCTCAAGGTCTGGTGACTGGAAGGCAGGACTGTCAAGTACGAGAAAGGCTTGCATGGTTAAGTCATTGACCTCGAGGTATTTCTTAATGACAGGACCAAAGACCAAGTTGATCCACTCGACGAAATCTTCCTGGTGATCCATGCCTCTGTGTTTGCCCTCCACAAAATTTATAGCTTCTCTGTCAACCACAAAAACAGCAGATTCTCTATCTTTTCATGGAGAGAGTTACGAATACTCTTAGCTAAAGTTATATCAAGCTCTACTTCAGAATAGAACAGATCGTAGAAGTTGTACAATCGTACTGCATTGCCAAATCTTTTACTCTTTGCTCATGTATTTATTATCTCACACTTTAATTTCACAGATATTACTTTTTCTTTTCTCACCATTATTCTTTACATTCATCTTCTTGGTACTTACAGTTATACAACAAATAAACTAGCTAAACAACTGTCTTTACCAATAAAAAAACACAAAATTAAAACAACATGATAGAACTCCTTCTACAGCAAGATGAACTGAAATGGCAGGTGAGTCTGAATGATGGTTATGTCACAACCAATTCCATGTACAAGCAAATCTTATTGGTGGTTCAGATTTGTGAGTCTTGGGCATGCCAGCTGCTATTATGTCACCGATGCTAGCTCATATCTTAAATTCTGACTTGCAACTCAGGCTACAAACTGGACCTAGTGTTTGCTTATATCTAAAAAAACTTGTAAATTGAGCATTTGTATCTCAAGGTTCCACTGTATACGGTACTTGCTGAGCTTTTTGGATAAGATGCTTTTATTGTAAATCTGTCAAAGTTAATCACTGTTTGTCTTTTAAGTATTCTTTTAAATTCACTTAGGATGATCCAAAAAAAAATTATTTAGTAAAAAATATATCTTATTACCATTTATTTATTAAAGTAGAATAGCATATAAATATGTTATGTTTGTGCTGAAATGAGCATTACAGTACTTAAATTGTAAATTTTTTAATAAGACACACACTAATGCGAGGATTTATGCACATACTTTTATTCAACATATTTGGGGATAAGGAGATTGCACATATAATTAAAGAAATTCAAAAATTCACAAACTTGATACCTACATTTAATAAATACATTCATAAATGGAAGTATTTATATAAAAATTTTGAACACATAATTAATGACAATGGATAATAAAAATTAAAAAATAGCCACAATCATTTTATAAATGTTTTGCTGTATAAGAAACTCGTGTCAGAATTTTTAAAAACTTAATTTTTAAAACTAATTTAATAAAAATTTGTAAACCATATTTCTCATAATAGTAAATATTTTGTAAATTTATTTTACTTTATCGTATTTAAACTAAATTAGCTGACACAAAATGAGAACGATTTTTTTTTTCTTTTTCATTTTGCTTCTGAACATATTACATACAGGTGATTCACAAATAATTTAGTACAATAAAGTAAAATATCAGCATTCCAGTTCATTGGGATCTGTTGTTTCCTTCCAGGTTTCAATTACATCTTCAGAAATCACATCAGCATGACATAATATATCAAAGAGCTTGTGAAGAACTGTACAAACAATTAAAATGATTAAATTATTTACATTAATAAATAAAATAAGTTTACATTTTTAAAGCAGAAAACATGAAACTGCTTAAAATGTCATTAAAAATATCACAGAACACCATGAAGGCATTCCTGTCATTTTGTTAAAGGAATTTGTCAAATAGGTAGTTATTTTATTGTGGTTCATAGTTCTGCAATGAATTTCAAAAATTTTATGCAATTTTCTAAACTTCATGAATAATGAGATTTTCCTATATGTTGATTAAATCTGAAAATTTCACATTTTAATTTTTATAACATTTTATTAATTCTACCATAATAATTGGATTATTTCTCATACTTAAACATGGAGTCATCTAAAAAGTTCTATAGTTTTTTTAGGTAAATACAAATGAAGTAGAATAAAAACATAAGAACATTTTACTGAATCACATATGCAGTATTTTGTTGTATGAATTTTTGTCATTTCTCTGGCAGCTTGAAAATTCCATTTTTAATAACGTCATTAAGCTTGCGCATAAAGAAGTTATCAAGATGTTGTTTCACAGTTTCCAAACAAATGAACTCCAGGCAATTCGGAATATTTTGCAGTAACCTGACGAAACAAAAATTCAAGAGGGTAAGGTCTAATGAATATGGAGGTGACACAAAGCATTCCAGTCACACTCAATAAATCGTTGTCTGACATCAATGAAATATGGGACTGAGCACTATCATAATGAAAGACAAGACTTCAATGACTGGTCAGTTCTGGGCACTTTGCTTCAATTTCTAATTTTAAAACTGCCATATGGGAACACTTTTTTTCTGAATGTATAGTCTGATTTGGCGGCTGCAATGTATACGAGCATGTTTCCGTTAGAAAGTCCTCCATGAAGGCATCTCTACCCTTAGGCAGATAGCTCTCAAGTGCTTTGCCATAATTAATTAAACCAAACCAATAATCCAAACTCTGTTGAAGTTACTAAAGGAGGTTCGATTGGCTTATTCCATGATTTGTTTCTTGTAACATTACTGTATAGTATCCACTTCTCATCTTCAGTAATGAGCCATTTCAAAAAAGGAGCTTCTGTATTTTTTTCCAGCAAAGAATTACATGCTGAAACTTAGGCAAGCATATTCTATGTTACATATATTGTAGAAGTTTACATACTCAATCTTCACGTGATCAGTTTGAAATATTTTATATGTCTGATAGTTCCTGAACTATGGTGGATTTTAAACAGCAGCTTCTTTTAATAGATACAGAAAATGATTATCTAGACATGCTAAAATTATGCAAGCAGAAAAGACCACAGAACATCTACTTCAATCAAAATCACACCTTATCAGCAGTAACAAATTAATCAGAAGAAAACACAGTTCACTTTGAATAACCGTAGAACTTTCTGATGACCTATATTACCATTCATTATGTATGAAAGAAATATGCTGCAAATTAATCACATTCCAAAGTACATAACAGAATTCTCAATCCAAAATTGTAACTCAATTTCTAGTTCATTTAGGAGTATAACAATCATTCTAAACTGAAAAATGTGATAACTAATGAAAAAAAATTATATGTGCATCATTCATATTAGAAATCTTGATCTCATATTACAGCACTACACTAACACTGCACTGCTACAATTTGATTGGTTAATAAATTTTCAAAACTAAGATAAAAATCATAATTCTGCATCTGTTACTGTTTATATCTGCAGCTATTATCTACATCAATATTGAATACTTTCCATTATACTACCTATGAGATGAATGCATGCAAATTATTATAATTAATAATTGAATAAAACATAAAGCAGAAGTCATAACTTGGTTTTTCTTAAACCCATATGCATGCTAATACATCCATAAAAGTATTTTTAAATAAAGAAATAATGATCTTGCAGATTTCTAGTTTTAGTATGCTGCTGATCAAATTAAAGTTGCAATAAAAATATATGATGCTTCTTTGGTTCTAAGTTATATTAGTATTACTGCTTGCTATATTAACTTTTTTTTTTACCTTAAAGCTGCATGTTTAAGTTCTCATCGGTGACTTTTTTCACAAAATTATTAATGTAATTCTTAGCCTGTGAAAGTTTAATGAATTCTTTCCCCCCTCAATTCCTCATGAATTATGTCCTTTTTTCCCTCATAACAATCTGTTTCAGTATTATTGGATTAATTCCTGAAAACAGTTACTGACATTAAAATAGACATATATAAAATTATTAATTATCTTATTTACAGAATTAAAAATTTTGGTAAATAAAATCAAGTGCTCAGTTATATTATAAGTTATTTCATTACATATTAAACTAGAACAATAATTTAAACTATAATTAAATTTTGGAAGAGAAGCTGAGGATTCATTTGAAGAAAACGTGTAAATACAAATGTGGGTGTTATTTTTGAAGCATAAGACAAAAATGAATTGGCATGCTTAACAACAGTACCTTTATTTCATGCTTGGAAAAAAAAAAATCACTATGTAAAATATATTTCTATAAGAAAGACAAATTCAATCATTAAAAAAAAGAGAGAGAGAGTCAAGTGAAGAAAATCTGAAGTACTGTTGATAAAAATGTTTGAATTACGAGTCTTCAGATGGTTTACTTACCTAATATATTTGAATCAATAATATATCACTCTAAGAAAGTGACTGAGATGATAATTAAAAATGGAGGAAACTATAAAAAAGGGCATGCTTGAAACAATTTAATGGGAAAAGATTTCATTAAATACACTCTGAATAGATGTTAATGTGATCCAAAGTTGAGCCGGAATTAATGCTATCTTAGTCCAAAATGATGTGAATTTGTTAGATTTGTCATAAGGATTAGCATCTTGACACAAATACTAGACAACTGATTTATCAGAAATTATCTCCAATTCCAAAGAAAAATAAATGCAATGAAATTAAAAGCCACATCTTTTTAAGACTTTTTCCACCATTGAAATACATATATTTTTATTAAATGCAAATATGAATTTCATTTTTTTAATACAAATTTGCATTTAAAAAATAAAAAGATACATCAAAATATAGAAAAATGTTTAATAAAATAATGACATAAATCTTAATAGTAATAAATCATAATTAAGTAAAAGAAATTATGCAAGTAATTAATTTCATTAACCTTTAAAATTAATGAAATTCAGTGAATATATAAAAAAAAAAAAAAAAAAAACCCTTGGCAACAGCTCATTAATAGCAGAACAGATAAATTCACAAAATGTAGCTTTGTAATAATACTTTTAAAACTATATTCAGTTTTATCTAGAAACCTCCAATTTGAAAAGCAAAGTTAATAAACATGAAAAAACGCTTAAGGTAGAAACTACATGGTTTATTCTAAATTGAATAAACCATTTAAATTAATGAAAGGAGGGGAAATATCTGCTTTAAAAGAGAAATTCTGATACAGTAAAAGAATTTATTTACAGCACTCACACAAATATTTATACCCATCTAGAAACACAGTAGTATATTAAAAATGTAGCAGAAACATTACCTTCTGTTTGTAGTATACTAGATATATTTAAATGGCTGATAAAATACTGAATGATATTCAGAGTTTCCAATCTAATTTTTTGGGTGTGTAATAACGGCTCCGAAGTATCCTTTTCTCAACGTATTTGATTTGAGCTGAAATAGCATCAGACAAATAAAAACAGGAAATTTTTTATACACTTAAAATAAAAGTGGTGTACAAATTACCTACTTTCTTACACCAAAAAAATTAAAATACAAAGCTTAACTAATTTTAAAAAAATATTATTTCAGATTTCACAATTCTCATGCAAACTTCCAATGTTCTGTTCATAAATAAACATTTATTTAAAAAAATTTGACTCCCATAAGTTTAAGATCACGTTCAGTGGTCATACACAAATTGAAGGGCCAAACGTTTGCATTTGTACTTAGCAAAAAATTAAACATCAGTTTAGAAAAAAGGATTTTGATGTTAACTCATAAAGTGATGAGCACTGTTATGCAGACTGTTGTGAAATGCACTGATCAATATTTAAAAAAAAAAAAAAAAAAAATCCCCCCCCAAAAGATTGTATTCACAGAATTTGTGCTTTAAAAACAATGGTAGGCGCTTCAGTATAGTATTAATTATCAGTAAGCCAATTCGTTATTAACATCTGCATAAATTCAAAATATTTCTATTTTAATAATTTTTAGATGATGATTCTAAAGTAATAAAACTGCATTAAGATATTAATAATGTACTTTAGCTTTTCAAAAATTTATAAATTACCTATGTGAAAATTTTTTCTTCCATGCCATATGTAAAAAAAAAAAACAAAAAGGGATACTGCCAAATTATTTTAATTTATTTTTTAACTGATCCCCCCCCCCCGAAAAAAAAAAAGATGGACGGCAAAATTTTTAAATAAAATACCTTGCTCAATTTTTATAACATATTAATCAGTTTTTGTGATTCCCCCCAATAATGAGTACTAACTTCTGTTAAATTTAACTAAGATAAATGGACTGTTGCAACTTTTTTTTTTTAAATATTTGTGGTTTTTTTTTTTTTTTTTTTTTTTTTTTTTTGTAACTGTTCACAACTTGCATTGGAAATAATAATAATAATAATAATTTCAAAATTTTTACAAAATAGATTTTTTAATTTTTAAAATGCCAAAACATGAATATTTGCATAATTTAAAACAATTTTGTAATCAAAAATATATGTATATCACTAATGACTGCAAAAGTAAAGGCAGCTTAAGGACTTTTTATAAAAATGGAGTATATAGCTTTATGTTATGAATTCTGGCTAAGCAAACATTAACTGATAAATAAAAAGAATAGTTTTAAGTGTCAATATGATTTCTTTATTAGGTAAGTTTAACTACACTCGACTGAGTAATAAGAAATCATATATTATTCAGTTAAATAAGTTTAATAACTTTCCCATTTTTCATATTCTATGATTGAAATTAAAAATCTCTATATATTTAGCACGTAGTGCATAAATCTTGAAATTAAGTTTACATTATATATTACTAATATTTACAACAGAAACAATTCAAACATATAAGGATGAAGTGTCAATGTCACGTTGATAAACATTTCCAGAAAGGGAGGGAAAACACACATTTAATTACCTGAAATGGCATCTTCATGTACAGCAAGCACCAAGGCACGAATAATGGAAGGCTCAAAAATGCCATTTTTAGATATATTTGCCTAAGGAAAAATATTTTCCTTAAGGACACAAGTCCAAAGTGTATTTATGTATCTAAAATATATATAAGTTTTTTTTTAAACTAAATATTCTTTGTTACCAAAAAATACATAAACAACTGCAAATCAAGCATACAGTGCTTACATCTATATAATCAAAAATCCCGCCATTATCTTCAACCTTCTTAAGCAGACCTTTGGCAAGCTGTTTGAACTCTTCTCCTGAAATTTCAGTATTTGATATTGTTTCGACAGGAGCCATAAGGAATTCAAGTTTCTGAAATTTCAAAATAAAAAAAATAAAACAAATAAGATTTTAATGCAGACATGGAAAAACTGGTTTAACATTTGCAGTCTATTTTTAAAAATGCAGTAGTGTTTTTTAGATATTAGTGACAAATTACTAAGTGAATTGTCAGATCAATATTTCTCTATATGAAGAAAATACTACTCCTGTTGTTTGATATATGCAATAAACACAAAATTAGCAAGGCAATCCAACAATGTTTTTCCGTCTATATAAATGACAGAAAAATTAACACAATGTTAAATATTTACAATACTTCCATATTGTACTACTGAAAATTACTGAACATACATTTACAGAAAATTAGACTAACTTGGCACAGTTTTGTGATTTTTTGTGAATGTAAAGGTAAAAGTTACTTATTGGCACAAGCAGATGGTTTTCACAACATTTTTTAAAAAGATTGCTAAACTTCAATATTTATTTAAGTGAATAAACATTATTAACATATGAAAGGAAAAACATACTTCAACAATTTAAAATATAAATTATAAAATAAGGATTACATGATACATTAAAAAATAAAATATTCATATTCTTCTTTAAATCTTTCTGTAATTTTTGTATAGTATTTTAAGTTCATTACAATCTGCTTTTACTTAAAAAAACATAAGAGAATTGCACAGACCCAGCATTGTGCAATCCTCAGCTACAGCAGCTATTTATGAATGCATCTCCTCATTGTCCCTTCTATAAAATTTCTGGCAAAATTCTGAATTTCTGCAGAACTTTTATGCAGTTTCTTCCATAGATGGCAAATTCCACAAGCATATATTTTAAAATTAGCTTTATGGTAAAAACTACACAATTTGTTTATAAAAACCAGTTGAACTTGCAATACAACAAAAAGAATACATATGAAAATGGTGATGTTGCTTGACTGAAAATGATGATTGTTATGGTTGCCAGACCATGTCACATTCAGAAATTTTGGTGTATTCTCCTAAGGTGGATGCGATAACATGTAAGTATCCTATTTACATACTTAAAGTTCAAAGAACCCCTCAAAAAATTCAGTTTCGAATGAGACTTTACTCTGAAAGAATTAAAGGAAAATGCATGGGTTAGATTCAAAAAACATCTGCTGTACGCATGAGAATACATAAATGAAAGAACATTGAATAAGATCTAATATATGGTTACAGAAAATTAGATTATCATGCAAGTTCTTGTTTATAAAAACGCCAGCAGGTTTTTAATGTAACCCCTCTAAAGATTTTGCTTTTGCCATCTTGCCAGAATCTTGTATCAACCAAGGCAAGGTTAAATTATTTTTGCCTTTCCACTGCAAATTCTAAAACAAATGGCATGTAATTATATCTTAGCATGAAAATCCGGGTAATCAGTATTTATTTGTACTGTTTCCCGCTATCTCAATACAGTCAAAAGTCGTTAATCCGGACTCGTCGGGACTTCGGCGATTCCGGATTATCGATTTTTCCGGATTATAGATCATCAGTTTAAATCTCGTAAGATGGCATGCAGAAATTCTAAAATTAAAAATGTGAAACCGTAATTTATGAAATAAAGAACAATTATGATCTAAAGGGTATCAAAATTTGCAAAAAGAAAAAGCTTAATATTTATTTGTTTACTTTATTAAACATTTCTTTCAATGTAAGTTGTTTAAGTTTTGCTTCGTTTCATGTGATAATACTTTCTATTTAATTCTATTAAACAGACATAATTTCTTGTTCAGTTACAAAGTTCCGCCGTTCAAGTCCTATAATTGCTGTGTCAAGAACACTGACTAATTTGTCAATCGAAATTTTTTTGTTTTCAATAACCTCTGTCACTTTTCTTCGCTATCGGAAGCGAATTATAATGACGAGGAACTTGTTTTAAATCATATCAAAGACGGAGCATATCGAGATGAAATACTACGTTTGGTAAGGAATTATAAGCCAAATAAAATAAAAACATCTGCGCTGAAGATAAGGATAGTGCTGACAAATCAAATTCCAATTCATTAGGCGCCCGCCACCGAGCAACGTGAAATTGATAAACAGATTTCGGATTTCAAAACATACTTTCGCTTTAGATCCTTTACATACTAACAAATATATATCGGAAATTCTATTTGATATAATCGAAAGTTTAAGCTTACTTTTATAAAATTGCTCTTACAGTCTGCAAAAAATAATAAGCCGGATGCATTTCGAAAATTAAGGAACAACGCAATCATCAACATTAACTGAAATAGATAATTAGATAATTTTAGCTTATACGTCCATTATACATAAAATGCGCACGCGAAAACGTATTCTGCACTTGCGCACACTCATATGCGCAGTCGTAAAAGGTCTTACGCGCACGCATGAACGCATCTGCGCATGTGTCAACGTGACGCATGCGCAGAAAGTTTTTAGTTTTGATGTCCGGATTATAGATCATTCCGAATCTTGGGTGTCCGAATTAACGACTTTTGACTGTATATGGTGAAAATTGAAACCATTAAAAAGGGGGATTTAATTTCAGCCATTTAAATGGGATTTCGATGTGAAAACAATTTAAAAATCATGAGATTGAAATAGCTGAACTGTACCAAAAAAGAACTTGCTTTATGACAAATAAAGTTTTCCATTAAAAGTTACTTACACTTCAGCAAAAGGAAAGTGAAAATTGGAGAAAAAAGTCTTTATTAGGTCATCATAAATTTTGCAACACAGCTGTAATTTCCCTAAAGATTTTGAGCCTCCTCCTCCACATTTCCTCATAGACCGAAGTACATTCAATGCACTCATCTATATTATCTGAATAGATGATGAATGCACTGAATGCATCTAGGTCTATCAAATTCATTCATCCTGCAGTGCATGAATGCACATATCCCACACTCACTGTCTGAAAGTAAGCTGAAAGATGTAAGCTCAATAATTACCAAATAAGTTACATAAAGTTTGGAAAAACGCACAGGAGAATTAATGGTCATTGTACAGAACTCATGTACCTACTTTTAACCATTAACAGATGTTTCAGAGAGCTTAAACACTGAAAATGTCCTTCTTAGTGTACGTTACTTAGTTGTAACTGCCATTTATGCCTCCAGCACAAAGTGCTTTATAACTCCCTTGATGTTAAAGGTAACAACTACC